CGCCTGCCGCAGGCGCTTCTCGCTCTGCTCCAGGCGGTGCTGGTACTGCAGCAGGATGCGGCTCGTCTGCTCCTCCTGCGACACCAGGCGCCGCTCGTACTCCTCCAGCTTGCGGTTGGACATGTGCAGCCGCTCCTTCAGCGAGTGGATCTCCTCCTCGTACTCCTTCACCTGCCACAGTCCACACTGCAGGGCACCGGTGCCATCTCCCCAGCCCCACCACGACCGGACACCCAGGTTCCCTCAACAGTGACACCCAAACGCCTCTGTCCCCACTGTGGTGATGCCCAAACACCTGGGAACGCACCGTGGTGACACCCAGACACCTGGAAACCCACCGTGGTGACACCCAAACACCTGGGTTCCCACTGTGGTGATGATCAAACACTTGGGGCCATCAGGGTCATCTCCTGGGCTCTGGACACCCGAGCCCCTGGGACCTGGGTCCATCAGGGTCATCTCACGGGTCCTGGACACCTGGGTCTATCAGGGTCATCTCCTAGGACCTGGACACCTGGGTCCCTGGGACCTGGGTCCATCAGGGTCATCTCCTGGGTCCTGGACACCTGGGTCCATCAGGGTCATCTCCTGGGCTCTGGACACCTGGGTCCATCAGGGTCATCTCCTGAGCTCTGGACACCTGAGCCCCTGGGACCTGGGTCCATCAGGGTCATCTCCTGGGCTCTGGACACCTGGGTCCGTCGGTGGTCCCTACCCGGTCCAGCCGGCTCTCGTCCATGGACTTGGAGTACTCCTTGAGCTTGTACTCCTCGCGCTCGATGTGGGAGCTCTCGATGTCGGCCGAGAGGTGCGGCATGTTGGACACCCAGGCCACCGTGCGCTCCGCCGCCGGCATCACCGGGTTCAGCGTCGACGGCGTCTGCGAGGCCTGGGGGGCGGGTGATGGGGACATGGGGATGGGCTTGGTCCCTCTTGTCCCCACATGCTGTCCCTGCAGTAGCTCTTGCTGTGTCCCCATGTCCCCCATGTCCCCCTGCTTCCTTACCACGTCCACCCATCCCCACCACGTCCCCACCACGTCCCCCATGTCAATCCATGTCCTTCCCTCTCCACCATGTGCCACGGCACCCGTGTCCCTCTGTGTCCCCATCCTCATCATGGCCCCACCATGTCCCCCAGCCCCACCATGTCCCTCATATCCCCCATCCCCACCACGTCCCCCATTTCCCCCACCTCCACCATATCCCCATGTCCACCACCTCCACCATGTCCCCATGTCCACCATCCCCACCATGTCCCCATGTCCCCCATCCCCTCCC